CGGTTACGAAGTACATGCTTACCTGGGTTGTCGAAGTAAACGGTTACGAAGTACATGTTTACCTGGGTTGTCGAAGTAAACGGTTACGAAGTACATGTTTACCTGGGTTGGTGAAGTAAGCGGTTACGAAGTATATATTTACCTGGGTTGGTGAAGTAAGCGGTTACGAAGTACGTGTTGCCCACGAGCACAAACGGATGGTTAATCTGGTTGACAGGAGGGAACCCAGCGCTGTCGTTCTTCGGTACCTATCAAAGACAGTTTGTTCTCATTAACCAAATGATGTTGGTGACTGAAGACCACGTCATTTATTGTGTCATACATTATTTCTGACCAACACACTTTCATGGAACTCACATGAAACATCAACAATCCTTATTCTCCAGGGACAACTGGGCTTCCGTTCGATTTTTAGTGGGTGTCTGTGATGCCATTCCATTAGTTTTGAGGTCTCTTTTCTTCCTTTGGTATTGATTTTGAGTTTAAATTGTGTCCTTGTGTGTTAACGTTTTGGTCCATTTTTAACGTATATTCATTTAATGCGATAATGACACATAGTGCCGGTAATAAATTTTGCAGTATTATTGAACGAAGTACTGAGATATAGAAAACTATGTTTATATCCAATGTTCCGTTACTAACACAACATAACAGGCGGTTCACTGATTGATCTAACTTATATTATGAATGGTGATGAGTTTGGAATAAACAAATTCGATGCTTTAAATATACGTAACATAAACACACAATAACAAAAGCTAAACTGGAATGTTGATGAGAGGAAACATTTGTAAAATTTGAAAACACAACAAAACAAAAAGAATAACAAAATGAACTCCAGCATAAGCAGCAAAAGGCAAAATCCCATGTGTTCCGGAAGAGAAAGCATTACTTTGGCACATCGGTGATGCTAAAGGCAAAATCAATGTTAATCGAAATAGTCTAAACTACTGTTGAAATAGCTTGGGTAGGTACGTAAAACCCTTTATTACTTATTGAAAAATTCAGATGAGTACTGGTTAATTTAAAATTATATAATCTGCAAAGAATGTGTGTTATAAACCATGCAACTAAACAAAAGAGAAGGGGCATAAGAAACCCACAAAACATCACTTTATTGTTTTCAGTCAAACTCACTCCTATCTGGATCCCAGCGATGTACCCATTCTTATCGTACACTAGAACCAGGCCGTAGTCTCGTCCTTTCACAAAGCGTTTTCCTTGTAGACCAGCAATTTCTACAACACAGGAATAACAACAGTAAACGACTCTATCAGCTTGATTTGGTCAGTATGACAATACTACTCACAAGTTATACGCCGTAAAACATTTACACTGGGTTATTAAACTATAAAAAAAAAAATGTACTATCGAATAACGGGGTGCCAACATTTTCGATACTCGGCCGTTACGTTACTTGGATTGGATGTTTCGGTACTTTTAAAACGTCGCTGTGATATTTTAACAATCAGCTCTAATGTTCTATCCCAACCTACTATGGGGTTTCTCTGTGTCGGTGATTCCGATATGCACACTGACCATTTCCAGATATCTGTACTATTATGGTTTTCGTGTAACATCACGAGGACCTCGATTCGTTTATCCAAACTCTACGTCAATGCCAATACAATAATGATAACATGAACGCTTAATAACAGTCAGTCAATAACTAGTTTTGTTCGCTATTATAAAAACTGCTATTAATTCAAATTCCTTTGTCAATCTTGTTTTAATTACGACTTTGTCCAAGACACATTATTTTGTTTTTTCGCTGACGCGTCAATGGCAATGAAACAAAATTAGCTTAAAATTAATGGATTAAATATACAGTAAAACTTCGTTATACTGGCATCATTTGCACAGAAAAAGTTGGCGTTATAAAGGGTTTGGCAATAAATTGAGGGAAATGTATAAGGAATTAATAAGAAAAAGAGAAAAGGGACATTGAATTATGAAAGCGCTCAACAAGGTTTTACCGCATCAAGTATAATTAAACAGCTAACAGTCACATTACCGTATCAAGTATAATCAAACAGCACTAAACAAGGTTTTACCGCATCAAGTATAATCAAACAGCTAACAGTCACATTACCGTATCAAGAATAATCAAACAGCACTAAACAAGGTTTTACCGCATCAAGTATAATTAAACAGCTAACAGTCACATTACCGTATCAAGAATAATTAAACAGCTAACAGTCACATTACCGTATCAAGTATAATCAAACAGCTAACAGTCACATTACCGTATCAAGAATAATTAAACAGCTAACAGTCACATTACCGTATCAAGAATAATTAAACAGCTAACAGTCACATTACCGTATCAAGAATAATTAAACAGCTAACAGTCACATTACCGTATCAAGAATAATTAAACAGCTAACAGTCACATTACCGTATCAAGAATAATTAAACAGCTAACAGTCACATTACCGTATCAAGAATAATTAAACAGCTAACAGTCACATTACCGTATCAAGAATAATTAAACAGCTAACAGTCACATTACCGTATCAAGAATAATTAAACAGCTAACAGTCACATTACCGTATCAAGAATAATTAAACAGCTAACAGTCACATTACCGTATCAAGAATAATTAAACAGCTAACAGTCACATTACCGTATCAAGAATAATTAAACAGCTAACAGTCACATTACCGTATCAAGAATAATTAAACAGCTAACAGTCACATTACCGTATCAAGAATAATTAAACAGCTAACAGTCACATTACCGTATCAAGAATAATTAAACAGCTAACAGTCACATTACCGTATCAAGAATAATTAAACAGCTAACAGTCACATTACCGTATCAAGAATAATTAAACAGCTAACAGTCACATTACCGTATCAAGAATAATTAAACAGCTAACAGTCACATTACCGTATCAAGAATAATTAAACAGCTAACAGTCACATTACCGTATCAAGAATAATTAAACAGCTAACAGTCACATTACCGTATCAAGAATAATTAAACAGCTAACAGTCACATTACCGTATCAAGAATAATTAAACAGCTAACAGTCACATTACCGTATCAAGAATAATTAAACAGCTAACAGTCACATTACCGTATCAAGAATAATTAAACAGCTAACAGTCACATTACCGTATCAAGAATAATTAAACAGCTAACAGTCACATTACCGTATCAAGAATAATTAAACAGCTAACAGTCACATTACCGTATCAAGAATAATTAAACAGCTAACAGTCACATTACCGTATCAAGAATAATTAAACAGCTAACAGTCACATTACCGTATCAAGAATAATTAAACAGCTAACAGTCACATTACCGTATCAAGAATAATTAAACAGCTAACAGTCACATTACCGTATCAAGAATAATTAAACAGCTAACAGTCACATTACCGTATCAAGAATAATTAAACAGCTAACAGTCACATTACCGTATCAAGAATAATTAAACAGCTAACAGTCACATTACCGTATCAAGAATAATTAAACAGCTAACAGTCACATTACCGTATCAAGAATAATTAAACAGCTAACAGTCACATTACCGTATCAAGAATAATTAAACAGCTAACAGTCACATTACCGTATCAAGAATAATTAAACAGCTAACAGTCACATTACCGTATCAAGAATAATTAAACAGCTAACAGTCACATTACCGTATCAAGAATAATTAAACAGCTAACAGTCACATTACCGTATCAAGAATAATTAAACAGCTAACAGTCACATTACCGTATCAAGAATAATTAAACAGCTAACAGTCACATTACCGTATCAAGAATAATTAAACAGCTAACAGTCACATTACCGTATCAAGAATAATTAAACAGCTAACAGTCACATTACCGTATCAAGAATAATTAAACAGCTAACAGTCACATTACCGTATCAAGAATAATTAAACAGCTAACAGTCACATTACCGTATCAAGAATAATTAAACAGCTAACAGTCACATTACCGTATCAAGAATAATTAAACAGCTAACAGTCACATTACCGTATCAAGAATAATTAAACAGCTAACAGTCACATTACCGTATCAAGAATAATTAAACAGCTAACAGTCACATTACCGTATCAAGAATAATTAAACAGCTAACAGTCACATTACCGTATCAAGAATAATTAAACAGCTAACAGTCACATTACCGTATCAAGAATAATTAAACAGCACTAAACAAGGTTTTACCGCATCAAGTATAATCAAACAGCTAACAGTCACATTACCGTATCAAGAATAATTAAACAGCACTAAACAAGGTTTTACCGCATCAAGTATAATCAAACAGCTAACAGTCACACTGTTCTTTCCTATTACAGACAATACGAGTTTGGTGATACTGAGAAGGGTCCAAAAGGAGAACAAATTCAACAGCTGCATTATATCTAGGTGAGAAGATACCCGATGTGCTTCCCGCTTTCGTCAAAGCAAAAAAGCAAATGCGTTAAAATGTTGGTTCATAGACTGGATTACCAGCCTTGGTACCATTTCTCACCGCTAGGCTGCGTTCTTTGATATTTCCATTTTCGAAGTGTTGCTTAGTGGAGAGTAGAAACACTACGGCAGGTAAAACGGTCTAGGTTGGGTCATATCAGTTCAAATGCTATATTAGGACCATGGATGTCACCTGTCACAACTGTAGTCATGTTTGTGTGCATACTTCAACAAATCTGAACTGATTGTAGTAGTGTCTGTGTCATTACCACATTGGTGTTCTTACCTCCACAATCAGAATCCATTACGAACCCTTGAGCTTTAGCCTCATCGACTGTTCTTGGCATCGCATTGAATCCCAAGGTATCTAACGGATTCAGACTCCATGTCACTGTCAACATAGAGAGAGAAAAAAACCAAGAAATAACAGGGAAATGTCAAGTAATCTCAGCTATTTAGAGCATAGGGAAGCTCTTTCATGATAGCACATGCCTGCCCTTGCTAGATGTTGCCCTTATTTTTTCGTGCGGAAGATTGGGAAACAGGAAGTTTACCCTTGAATCAATGACAAACATGTTTCAACACACGAAACAGAAAAAAAGTCTATAACAAAATGCGATAATGCGATACTACAAAAAAGGTTATTTACACTATTGTGATAAAGAAATATCATATTGTAGCGTGCATAAATAAGACTTTGGTAATACTGACCTCTAAGGTTGTTCCAGTCTGGATCTGCAATTTACAAATCAACAAATTTACAAATAGATAGATAAACGGGTAAACATACCAAACTTATACCCTTAGCGTATATCTTTTAGCGGAATGATAGTTTAGCACTTTTCGCGTTTCAAATATTGCGCTAACTAAACTTCCTGTATATAATGCGTTTATTATGAATGTGCTAACTCCTCATTGTGTTAATATGTAAAATGAGATAATAAGTCTTTTTACAGTTAAACAATTTCTGACCGAATGATATAATAAACAAGTGATGACGAAAACCACGGCTACAGTTGTTTATAACATATAAACCAATTAAAACATATTTATGATTGATGTGGCACCCAACATGGCAGACATTGAAATCTATAATAGGATATTAAGCCAGGAAGACGACACCAATATTTCTTACCGTCTATTGAAGGATATCCGAAATAAACCACAAGCTTACTAAAAAACTAGATAGGTTTATGACCATCTGCTATGGTAAGCTCAAAGCAGATTTATATCTGAATTAAAAGAATATGCTTGTCTATGACCAGCTCAAAAGCTAGGCTGGTCTAAGACTATTATAACAATAGCTTAGCTGCACTAACACTAACTTTAGCTACTAAACTAGACTGATATATTTTTTCAAAACTAGGCTGATCTGTTACTTTCTCCACAGCTTAACTGGATTTAGTTAAGCTCCTAAACTAGACTGATATATTTTTTCAAAACTAGGCTGATCTGTTACTTTCTCCACAGCTTAACTGGATTTAGTTAAGCTCTTAAACTAGACTGATGTAATTTTTCAAAGCTAGGCTGATTTGTTACTTTCTCCACAGCTTAACTGGATTTAAATTCAAATTCAACCAAACTTTTTTTTCACGTTTTAAACAAATACTATACAGTGTACAACTTAATTCTCAAACAATGGTACACAATTGAAGGAAATGTGTCCAGTCATGGGCTTATTAGACACGTCAAAAGTTAAGTTCAGGGCACTTTCCCAGATGTATCTAGTTCAATCACTTTCGTGAACTCCGTAGAATAAACGATATCGGCATCAAAACAAAACAATTTCGCATGGTTTTATGCATCAGCTCATGAAAAAAAGCAATATACCTGTCGTTTTTCATGCCACTTTATCGAGGTCGCCAAAACTCAGTTTCACCTACCTCAAAATAAAGTGTGTCTTGATAGACTGCCTAGGACCACCTACCTCAGACTAAAGAATGCATTGAAAGACTGCCTTGGACCACCTACCTCAGAATAAAGTGTGCCTTCATAGACTGCCTAGGACCACCTACCTTAGAATAAAGTGTGCCTTGATAGACTGCCTTGGACCACCTACCTCAGAAACAAGTGTGCATTGATATACTGCCTTGGGCCACCTACCTCAGAACAAAGTGTACCATGATAGACTGCCTTGGACCACCTACCTCAGAATAAAGTGTGCCTTGATAGACTGCCTAGGACCACCTACCTTAGAATAAAGTGTGCCTTGATAGACTGCCTAGGACCAGCTACCTCAGAATAAAGTGTGTCTTGATAGTCTACCTTGGACCACCTACCTTAGAATAAAGTATGTCTTGATAGACTGCCTTGGACCAGCTACCTCAGAATAAAGTGTCTTGATAGACTGCCTAGGACTACCTACCTCCGAATAAAGTGTGTCTTGATAGACTGCCTAGGACCACCTACCTGAGAATAAAGTGTGCCTTGATAGACTGCCTAGGACCACCTACCTGAGAATAAAGTGTGCCTTGATAGACTGCCTTGGCCCACCTACCTCAGAAACAAGTGTGCATTGATAGCCTGCCTTGGACCCCCTACCTCAGAATAAAGTGTGCCTTGATAGACTGCCTAGGACCAGCTACCTCAGAATAAAGTGTGTCTTGATAGACTGCCTTGGACCCCCTACCTCAGAAACAAGTGTGCATTGATAGACTGCCTTGGTCCACCTACCTCAGAATAAAGTGTGCCTTGCTAGACTGCCTAGGACCACCTACCTCAGAATACAGTGTGCCTTGAAAGACTGCCTTGGACCACCTACCTCAGAATAAAGGGGGTCTTGATAGTCTACCTTGGACCACCTACCTTAGAATAAAGTATGTCTTGATAGACTGCCTTGGACCAGCTACCTCAGAAAAAAGTGTCTTGATAGACTGCCTAGGACTACCTACCTCAGATTAAAGTGTGTCTTGATAGACTGCCTAGGACCACCTACCTGAGAATAAAGTGTGCCTTGATAGACTGCCTAGGACCAGCTACCTCAGAATAAAGTGTGTCTTGATAGTCTACCTTGGACCACCTACCTTAGAATAAAGTATGTCTTGATAGACTGCCTTGGACCAGCTACCTCAGAATAAAGTGTCTTGATAGACTGCCTAGGACTACCTACCTCAGATTAAAGTGTGTCTTGATAGACTGCCTAGGACCACCTACCTCAGACTAAAGAATGCATTGAAAGACTGCCTTGGACCACCTACCTCAGAATAAAGTGCGCCTTGATAGACTGCCTAGGACCAACTACCTCAGAATACAGTGTGCCTTGAAAGACTGCCCTGGACCACCTACCTCAGAATAAAGTGTGCCTTCATAGACTGCCTAGGACCACCTCCCTTAGAATAAAGTGTGCCTTGATAGACTGCCTTGGACCACCTACCTCAGAATTAAGTGTGCCTTCATAGACTGCCTTGGACCTCGTATGTCTACGTTGGCTAACTAGAACTATTTACCTCAAAACAATGTACCCCGATAGGTTTTCTCTCAAGTACACCGTATCTCTATATAAGTCACAAATATAAGACAATAGTCACATTATTACTATTTACCTCAAAACAATGTACCCAGATAGGTTTTTCCTCCAGTACACCGTATCTCTATATAAGTCACAAATATAAGACAACAGTCACATTATTACTATCTACCTCAAAACAATGCACCCTGATAGGTTTTCTCTCCAGTACACCGTATCTCTATATAAGTCACAAATATAAGACAACAGTCACATTATTACTGTCTATCTTTGAACAAAGTGGGCCATTTATGCTCCCTTATACTACCTACCTCCAAATAGGAAGGCATTGCTGGTGGCAAAAATGCCGATCACGACGAAAGCTCCCAGAGACATCATCCTTCTGAAGCAGTGACAGCCTACCTTGACAGCCCCCACGTTACGGCGGACTTAATAGGGTAGCTATCAGACAGCCCGTCCTGCTGGGTGTTTGAAATATTTCAATCACTTGCTGGAAACTGTACATGTGATCAATTTGTCTTAGAAAGGAAATTAATGATCTTTTGTATGATTGTAAATTGTTAGTCACGGGAACATTTCAATGTATCTAAGGTTTTACGATACAAAATGACCTTACAGGGCACGAGGTTATTTAAGTGCAAACTCTCAGGAGAATAATGTTACCTTTTTATTGTGTAATGAAAGCATACATAAATATTAGGGAAGATTCATGCGTTATCGATAATATTGATGAGTGACTGTATGCGATATGTTTATTTTTTAATAAAACGCAAGAATTGACAAATCTAGTTCACCGCTTGTTCTATATACTTAAGCATTGAACTGTTTTTGTATGGTATTTATGATCTATTTGAATGACACTGTGTCATTCAAATAGATCATAAATACCATACAAAAACATGTTCTTTTTTAACTTATAATTTATATTTAAAATTAAAAATGCCCGCCTTATCGACAGTCCAAACAATTTCGTTCAATAGTTTGAACAGCGTATTGTCGCGTGCTGATTGGCAAACAAAGTAGTACTTTGAAATTTTAACAAACACTTCAATTTTATTCCACAATTCAGTATCAATACAATTGCGTATGATATGTCTATAGGGTGATTTAAGTTTATCAATAGAACTCTGAGCTGAAAGTTATATTTGAAATTGTTTCGATTTTTCCCCGGAACAAATTTCGCGCATGGACAAATACAGTGAACACCGTAAATCCGACCTTGCCCTCCACGAGGGAGTTATTTTTGGAAGTTAATTCGAACTTTTCTCTTTGCTCATTTTGTGAAGAATCCAGGCGTGAATGTATTTGTTGATTGTATGGGAACCTGACAACAGTCGGTAGATTCTATAACAGCCTCGTTATTTGACATGTCGTCAGAAACTGAGGAACCGTGGATGCGAGACGCGTGAAACTGATAGCGTTTGAAGTGAGTGATCTTGCGACGGAGCACAGGTTCGTTACAAATGTCAGAAATGTGTATGTGTGCTGTGACTCATATCAGTAGGTCTGTAACATATGTGTCAGTAGGTCTATATAATATGTGTATTTCAGACATGTGTAACGAACCCCTGTTGATCAGTGCAGTGTAACAGACGATATTTCTGATAAATTGCATGAGCGTTAAAATTGTATCCATTGCCGGCATTGGTGATTTCAACCGATGTGCATTTTGTACGATATGCCGGGCAGACGTGGTCTTGTTTTCGTTGTAATAAAAGTGTTTTTTAATTTGTTTTTTATTTTGCACATAAATTTACAATGGCATTGTCAAATCTCACAATGCCCAGCGATATTTCAGCAGCCGTCATGTTTATTTATATTGGATATATTGTAGTTCCGGTCAGTGTTGTATTAATACGCTAAGAATTGTGTCTCGTGATTCATGGTAATTAAAGTCCCATCAACGACACAGCTTTCAAAGAGGCTATATAGTGACAATGCCATGCAAATGTAAATATTTATTATTACATCTCAGAAGCGCCACAAGAAGCATAATCAAGAAAGTCGTAAAAGGTGCGAAATAAAACATGATGGCATATGAAAACAATTGGAGGAACAATTGACAGGGATTCATGTATCCCGAGGTTCTTCTAGCCCTGATATCAGACGTACATTTCGACAGATAGATGTCTGGTGTGGGGCCACAGCGCACTACTATATGAAGACGTCGATTTCTCAGACACCGTTCGTTAGCGCTGGGATTTAAGGTGCTGACAATTGTTTCAGTAAGATGAACTTCTGTTAACGATTAATGCTGAAAACCAGTGTTTATCCCTGTACAGAAAATTGCTTCCTTAGCTTTTTGTTAGTTTTATCCAAATGCGAGCGTCTCTATTACTAGACAAGGAGCTGAATCGATAGTAAGGGGTGACAGTACGTGAGTTCTCAAAGGTGATAGGGAAGACGATTGCATCTGAACTTGAAGTTGTATATGTCTCATTACACTTTAAAATCTTTGAAAACGAGTGTTTAAATTAAAGTCATGTGGTTGAGCGATGTATAAATAGATGAAATGATGTGAGTAAATCATACCCAGTTCAGCAGTAGTTATAGTAATGTAATGAAGTTACAAATGTGGTTCAAACTTTCTCTATATTATTACATTTGCTGTTTAGAAATCTTAAAGCAATGATTATTGTGAAAATAGAACTTGATAATATAATAGTTCTTTCTCTTTATGCTGCAGTAAATGGGCAAGCAAATACAACTCAGAAAAATGCCGAACGAATCGGAAATCTTTTTCGTTGGAGGTGAACAAAGCACTTAGTTAAATACAATAGACCCAATGGGGCGTGTATCGCTCGCCTGGTATAAATCTCACACCAGTAACCTTCAAAGTGGGCAACAGTCCTAATGTCACCTTCCCCGGCCTTGAAAGTTGTATGACAATTGGCGCATGTGACCTTGAACGCCAGTCAAAGTTATTAGTTTGAGCAAAGTTGGTAGCCCTTTCTATCAACCTGGGTCTCTTTTTAACATATTTGACCCCTGCGAGCTAAAAGGGGTCAAGATAATTCATTGCAACAAACTCGTTTGCTAGTGAGACAACTGAACTATCATTGGCTGGACAGATTGTCAACCAGGTTAGTTATGGTTTGATAGTGGGACAACTGGACTAGTATTGGCTGGACAGATTGACAACCATATTAGTATTAGTTTGATAGTGGGACAACTGGACTAGTATTGGCTGGACAGATTGACAACCATATCAGTATTGGTTTGATGGTGGGACAACTGGACTAGTATTGGTTGGACAGATTGACAACCAGATTAGTATTGGTTTGTTAGTGGAACAACTGGGCTAGTATTGGCTATACAGAAGGACAACCAGATAAGTAATGGTTTGATAGTGGGACAACTGGGCTAGTATTGGCTGGACAGATTGACAACCATATCAGTATTGGTTTGATGGTGGGACAACTGGGATAGTATTGGCTGGACAGAATGACAACTAGATTAGTATTGGTTTGTTAGTGGAACAACTGGGCTAGTATTGGCTATACAGAAGGACAACCAGATAAGTAATGGTTTGATAGTGGGACAACTGGGCTAGTATTGGCTTAACAGAAGGACAACCGAATTAGTGATGGCTGGATAGATTGATAGTGGAACAACCGGATTAGTGATGGCTAGATAGTGGGATAACTAGATAGTGTGATAACTAGTGGGATAACTAGATAGTGGTGAATGAATTAACGACGTTTTCTGAAGAAGGCAAACTATATGCATGCCAGGTAATGAGTTTTCTATCCTCTTAACGTGTATTTTGGTGTATTTGTTGTCGAGCAAAACAAAACAACAACAAACAAATAAAATAAAACACAATGGTATGAAAATATTTGTTTATTGATTTTTTTTATGAATTAATACAGAACCAACATAACACAGACTTAAAAAACACATTTCGTCTTCTACAAACCTAATTTCATGCAGATAAATAAGGACGAAAATAAATAATGAACATATATCAACAATTAAGTTTTCTATAATGTCACCATGCTTTTTCTAATACAATTCTATTTTCATGATGTTAATAATACGGAATTTTATTACAATTGTTTTCAATGATATAGTGTAACACCTGTTAAGCTGATAACAATCAAATACCGATACGCGGTTACAACATGGATCATTTATACTTAAGAACAATACAAATTGACCATGCTCATTCAACAAATGTTTTTCACAGATTTTTTGTATATAGAAGCATAGTTGATATGCATTTATTTTTGATGCTGATTAAAAAGGTCAATTTAATGTGCAGAACATATTAGAAAAGAAACAATGTATATGAGTTCTCGTGAAAACCCAATTTAAAAGGTAAGACACGACAGGGCTATGCGATTTCATTGCGTAGATGCAAAACGAGTCCTCTTTGGAAAACATGAACTAAGCTTTTACTGTCTCCAATAAATACACGAGTAATTAACAACATTGTAGCGTTTTGCTAATGAGATCCTCTATAACGTGGCACATGAAAATCCTAAGTGATATTTTTACAAAAGGCTAAGGCTAAAAGCAAGACGTTACTTATAGTTTTGGCACGTCCTTCTTGAAATTCATTTTACTACTGTTGTTTATGGCAAGTTCAGAATCTCGTAGTTGCATCATGATCTTTTTAATTGATATTCAGGAATTTGTCTCTTGAATTTATGACATTGCTAAAAGGCATGAAAAGTTCGGTGTTCCTTTAGTATTAGAAAAATAACATAATAACCCAACAGTGAAGTTATTGCCGAAAATAAGACAAAAGCTATCTTTCAGGAGAAATTCGGCCACTTGTTGTTCATTCCTCACATTCTATCTATTTGTATAGACTAAGACATAGCTAACATGTATGGCACATAGAAGATAACCGCACTATCGTGATGGTGAAAACCTGGTAACGATGGCATTGAAGGCCGGAGTAATGACCGGACAGTTTAAACAGACTCAAAGTCCGTCGGTTCAGTGCGTCAGGTGCGGATTGATATGTTATATAGGAACACACACACAGCTGATTGCATCTTCCAATAATGGTAGTGAATACAGCATGCCAACAATGAATTACACTGCATCATAAAGCTGTAATTTCGAAGGCGAAATGATTTTAGTGAACAATTTGTTATGGGAAATTGATTTGTGTTCTAACATAGTGCAACTATGAGATACAAAACCCTTTGTTAAAATTGGCAGTTGGCAGTAAACCCTGTAGCTGAAATCTAGCCTGACATGGTTAACAAGAAGTTAATTGTCTACATAAGGGAAATATTTTCACTTGAGAGTTTATTTGGGAATAATTGCTGTGTTTGACCACTTTAAAACACTTTCAATTTGTTATTTTTAATCTTCCGACTTGTTAGTGACCATTAACAAGTCCTAAATGGACAAAATGGCCTCCTGGTCAATATATATATACTTTGTTCGGCTCTCTGAATCGAATTACTATATTTTCGGATTAGTTGTAAGACGTTCTTTATTCGCATATCGATTAAACTAACACTTTAAAGCAACAAATTGAATATGTATGGGAAAAAGTAAACGAGAAATCCTTGTTTTACCAAAACTATATATTCATGTTTGCATATTTTTATTGGTTAATCTCGAAAATACATCACATTTTACGGCCTACTTTAGTATATTTACAATTTCTACCTTTAACAAAATGGAATTCCTCTTACATATGTAAAACATTTATAAATAACGTGAGGCCCAGAGGGCCTGTATCGCACACCTGTTTCCTTTGGTACATGAAACTGACATATAGGTAACTTCAGACCAAATTTGGTAACTAGAACACAAGACATTTTAACATCTCTTAAACGCCTCTTAATATACTGTTGTTTGAAATTTCAAAAGCTTTTCACCCACGTTGACCTTTGACTCCGGCTAGCACTTAAAGTTGGCTTTTGACCTCATTACTGTAATAAAGAAAACGATTCATAGCTGGTCGTCATAACATACCCAAGAATCATGACTCCAGACCAAATCACCCTGCGTCCGTGGTCCGTCCGTCCGTCCTTAAGCCTCAGTCACACATTCAGGATTTTTAAAATTTGTCAAAAGTAGGATCAAGATAGTGTGATTCGTGACGGGAAACTCACAAATTTGTGAAAACATTTATTTAATTACGTCAACAATCAGATATTGTTCAGGAAGCGTCCCGATTCAGCCGTTTCCAGCTGAATTCGTCCCGATTCTCCCGTTCTCAATCCGAATCTGATCCGATTTGTAACTTCCGCATGGAAAAAACGACCGAATCTGCCCCGACAGTGTCCCGATTCTTCCGAACGCGATCCGACAGAGATCAGACAGTGACCGGACAGTGAACAGACGCATTCGGCAAGATCTGGACGCAATCTGGACTTAATCGGCAAGAAACGGTAATGAACATTTTTTCCAAATCTTACCCGTTCATCACGACAGCGTCCCGATCCACACGACACCGTCAAGACACCGTCCAGACGACACAGGATAATGTTACGATTTTGATCCGATACAGCAGCATCTGTCACGACATAGTCACGATTGTAATCCGATTAGACAAAATCGGCTGAGTTTCCCGAATGTTACGGGACGCGCCTAACTGTCGGAAGTGCTTGGCCGACCTCTCCGGACCATCCCGATGTGTAGGACTCTTTTACGAACGTTTACGACTGCGTTCAGACAATGATAGGACATTCGAGATCATTGAGGATAGTAATCCGACTTTTCCGCTTTTTGTGTCGTAACGCTGTCTGATCTCAAACGGGAGCCATAATCGGCATTGTGTGAACGCCGCATTAAACAATTCCATACTTTTTAGGATATTGTTGTTTGAAGTTTTTAACATTTTTGACTCCTGTGACCTTGAAAGTAGGTCAAGGTAATTTTAAAGAGGAAATTTTATAGCACTCCATCTCAGGTACCTACTGGCAAAATAGCATGACCCTGGGCCTTACAGAACTTGAGAAGAAGACTGGTAAAGCGTTCAACCCATGTTAACGTTTGACCCCCAACTAACACTTAAAGTTGACCTTTGACCTCATTACTGTAACACAGAAGAAGATTCGCATTGCTGGTCTACATAACATACTCAAGTATTATGACTCTAGTGCAAATGGTTCTTAGGATATTGTTGTTTGAAGTTTTTAACATATTTGACTCCTGTGACTTTGAAAGTAGGTCAAGGTCATTTTAATGAGGAACCTTTTTAGCACTCCATCCCAGGTACTTACTGGTCAAATATCATGACCCTGTGCCTTATGGAACTTGAGTAGAAGATTGTTAAATATTTTAACCCATGTTAACGTTTGACCCCCGACTAGCACTTAAAGTTGACCTTTGACCTCATTACTGGAATTAAGAAAAAGATTCGCACTGCTGGTCTAAATAACATACCCAAGGAAAAAATAACATACCCGCAGTTTGGCATAAGCTCACATGGCCCTTCGGGCCAGGTGAGCTAATAAATATTGTCATAAATATACACGTATTACAACTTTAACTCAAGTATTTATAAACTCATTTCATTCTCAAAACAAAGAATAATTACACATTTTATTCAACGGCAAGCAAAATGTATATGGAGTAAATTATTCCATTCTATTTTATCACGCAAATCAAAAACATTTCAAGCTGTAAATACTAACAAATAAATAATTGAATATATGAAGCAAACACAGTATGTATTAGCATTTCAATTTAGTAAATTTAAAGAATACCTATTTTTGCATTTTGAACAAAACCGATGATTCAATAAAGGAAGTTGATAGTAGTTACAGTTATAAAGTGTACTGTTATTTTCCCTTAAGGAGCGCCGTGCTACCTCCAAACAAGAGGCCCAAGAGGGCCTGTATCGCTCACCTGAATATTTAAGCAGTCATAGCAAAATATTCTCATTAAATATCATATTGCACTAAAAATATTTCCCTCGCAAACTTTGTTGGCTCCATCTGTTGAAACTACCAGCAAAATATTATTATAAGATTCTATGCTTTTTGATTCTTCTTCAGAAGTTGCTGACATATTTTTCCCTGTGATCTTGTAAGTAGGTCAATGTCATTTTCCTTCTCAAATTGGTTAGCTCTATTCCAAAAAGCTACCAGCCAAATCTTATGAATCCATTCCTTTTAGTTCTCAAGAACAAATCCATTAAAATGTTGTTGACCTCTGTGACCTCTAAAGTAGGTTGAGGTCATTTTCATTTGCAAACTTTGGTGAGCTCTATCCCGGGAAGTCACCAGCCAAATATTATAATTTTATGCCTTTTAATTCTTCAGAAGAAGCTGTTTGAACTGTTTGACATATTTGAACGCTGTGACCTTGAAAGTAGGTCAAGGTCATTTTCATTCGCAAACTTTGTTTGGCTCTTTCCCAGGAAGCCACCTGCCAAATATTAAGATTTTATAACTACCAGTTCTTCAGAAGAAGTCGTTTAAAGTGTTTGACATATCTGCCTCATGTGACCTTAAAAGAAGGTCAAGGTCATTTTCATTCTCAAACTTTGTTCGGCTCTTTCCTAGGAAGCTACAAGCCAAATATAGAGATTATATACCTTTCAGTTCTTCAGAAGAAGTCGTTTGAAGTGTCTGACACATTTGACTCCTGTGACCTTGAAAGAAGGTCAAGGTCATTTTCATTCTCAAACTTTGTCGGGCTCTATCCAAGGAAGCCATCAATCAAAAATAAAGATTCTATACCTTTCAGTTCTTCAGAAGAAGTCATTTGAAGCTTTTGACATATATGACCCCTGTGACCTTGAAAGTAGGTCAAACTAGTTTTCATTCTCAAACTTTGTTGGGCTCTATCCCAGGAAGCCACCAGCCAAATATAAAGATTATATACCTTTCAGTTCTTCAGAAGAAGTCGTTTGAAGTGTTTGACACATTTGACCCCTGTGACCTTGAAAGAAGGTCAAGGTAATTTTCATTCTCAAACTTTGTTGGGCTCCATCCAAGGAAGCCATCAGCCAAATATGAAGATTCTATACCTTTTAATTCTTCAGAAGAAGTCGTTTGAAGTTTTTGACATATTTGACCCCTGTGACCTTGAAAACAGGTCAAGGTCATTTTCGTTCTCAAACTTTGTAGGGCTCCTACCAACGAAGCTTTCAGCCAAATATCATGACTCTAGGCCTGTCCGTTCTTCAGAAGAAGTTGTTTAAAGGAAAAGTTGACGGACGAGGACGGACGGACGGACGGACGACGGACGCCGCGCCACGGCATAAGCTCACTTGGCACTTCGTGCCAGGTGAGCTAAAAACAGCCACTATACATTGGACACGTTTGTCCAGTGTGAATATGGCTTTGGTAAAAGTAAACAACAGTGTTCTGGTTGTAAAACAAGTCAGGACCGAACTCTTGACACATTATTTTACTATCGCATTAACAAACTGCGCTAGCTGGTCAACGGAAGTACCCTGGCCAACGGTACATTAATATCTAGAGTGAATTATTGGGAGGCTAAACCACTAACTTTGTGCTTGCAACATTTTGACCAAGTAATACGGTCACGAGTCAAAAGAAATGAATGACGTAGACAAAACTGGTGAGTCTTATCTTAAATTCACCTCATACTTCAGGTGAAGATATGGGTATGACATCTTTCTCGGTGATTTTTATCGGACTTTCACCCCGGCCCATGTTGCGAGCGATGGTGTAACTATGACCTCCTTCTCGGTGCTTTGCATTGAACATTTAATTCAGATAGTGAGGGAAGATCATTTGGAAAGTAGAAATGTTCACCTAAGGGGATATACCCGTGGCTGTATTAAGGGTTTACTCCCGATTCATAACCCCAAGGATAACAGAAAATATCTATCACAATCATGTATGAAATATAATTTTTCACCAATGGTCGGCCTTTGTAAATGAAGGAAACATCAAAGAATTTTGAGAAAAAATAAATGTTTTCTTGCCATCTTCAATTCTTAACTTGACACCGTTGACTGTACATGAATACATCATACTATTGTCTTAATTGTATAGAAGTGAAATACCATTGAGAAACCCTCCTGTTTTCTTCACCCGGATGCATATCTTTCACAGACGGTGGTTAGAAAAAGGAGCATGACCCTATCTGTGCGTTCTAATTCTTCTCACTGGACTTTGTACTCGTATAAACAATCGCTTCCCACACCGTTCGTTGTATTTTATCTCTACAAAGAAAAATATGTGTTGATATACCGCAGTAGGATTTTACCTAAAGGTTGCATAAAAACAATAACAAAGTCCCAATATGTATATTTTGCTATTCTTCTGCCTTTGATATTTCACATTGCGGAGGAAAAGTAGCCTTGGTCCAGTTAATGGCCCCTTTTGTTAGTGGTCCCTTTCCTCTGGGGGCCTATAGGGTACTCCTAATATCTCCAGAACAGACGCCTCTGTAGGAGTAGGCAATGGGGTGCCCTCAAACACCTTCTCCGCACCCTGAAAATATTATGAAAAAGACAATATTAGGTTCATTATGATTAGACAGAATTACGTTTACTTTGATTCGAGTAAAACTGGTGTACAATTAACGTACTGTCCACAGGCAGGTAACTCCATTATAAAATATACAGCCTTTCATTAACAGAAATGTTCTGAACTATTAGTCAAAGGTTCATTACACATCTCTGCCTTCTCTTTTTTTAGTTGTTTTTATATTTAATTGGTATTCGTCTCACAAATTTCTGTAGTCTGGATAATAATTTTACTTTGATGTGTAGGACTGTTCTTAACTTACATTTCTAACCACTCCAACGTTCAGTGAATGTTCCGACAAAGACATGCCCTTTTTCTTTGCGAGATGTCGCAATGAACGGTTGAAATGGGCGGATCCAGTAAAATATACCAACGCGCATGCGTATTCGTCATAGGGAACAACGATGATGTCAAGACGTCGATGCTAAAATTAACAATGATCACATGAATTATCTATGAGTCAACATTCATAAGGACACAGTTGACACTCGTTAGTCCAGCAACCAGTAATACGGTTGTCACAAAATTAATTAATTTAGTTTCTTTAGGACGTATACCTGTTCAATTCAATGAAACATATTTCATATGGCTTTTCTTTATACAGATATCCGATAACATGATCAAAATGTATATACAGCCTTTCTGAGAGTGATTTCTTTAATTGTCCTATGTCCTCATCCTTTTCACAAACTAACATTTTTTATGAGAAAAGAGGTTGCAGGATTGCCGGACCAGGTTATCTACCCGCCTGTTCTCTCCTGACACATTTCACTTCAGTTTACCTACCCGTCCTGACACATTACACATCATGTGTTCTCTCCTGACACATTACACTTCAGGTTACTTAACCGTCTGTTCTCTCCTGACACATTACACTTCAGGTTACCTACCCGTCTGTTCTCCCCTCTTAGTTTATACACTTCAGGCTACCTACCCGTCTGTTCGGTTACCTACCCATCTGTTCTCTCCTGACACATTACTCTTCAGGTTACCTACCCGTCTGTTCTTTCCTGACACATTACACTTCAGGTCACTTTCTCGTCTGTTCTCTCCTGGCACATTACACTTCAGGTTACCTTCCCGTCTGTTCTGTTCTTCCCTGACACATTCCCCTTCGATTACCTACCCGTCTGTTGTTCCCTGACACATTACACTTCAGTTTCCCTACCCGTCTGTTCTCTCCTGAGACATTACACTTCAGTTTACCTACCAGTCTGTTCTCTCCAGACACATTACACTTCAGCTTACCTATCCGTGTGTTCTCTCCTGACACATTACGCTTCAGTTTACCTACCCGTCTGTTATCTCCTGACACATTACACTTCAGCTTTCCTATTCGTCTGTTCTCTCCTGACACATTAATCATGTGTTCTCTCCTGACACATTACCCGCCTGTTCTCTCCTGACACATTTCCCTTCAGTTTACCTACCCGTCTGTTATCTCCTGACACATTACACTTCAGCTTACCTATACGCCTGTTCTCTCCTGACACATTTCCCTTCAGTTTACCTACCCGTCTTTTCTCTCCTGACACATTACACTTCAGCTTTCCTATTCGTCTGTTCTCTCCTGACACATTAATCATGTGTTCTCTCCTGACACATTACGCTTCAGTTTACCTACCCGTCTGTTCTCCCCTGGTAGTTTACACACTTCAGGCTACCTACCCGTCTGTTCTCCCCTGACACATTACACTTCAGGTTACCTCCCCGTCTGTTCTGTTCTCCCCTGACACATTCCCCTTCAGTTTACCTACCCGTCTGTTCTCCCCTGACACATTACACTTCAGTTTCCCTACCCGTCTGTTCTCTCCCCCGTCTGTTCTCTCCTGACCAATTACACTTAAGCTTACCTACCCGTCTGTTCTCTCTTGACTCATTACACTTCAGGTTACCTACCCATCTGTTCTCTCTTGACACATTACACTTCAGGTTACTTACTCGTCCGTTCTCCCCTGGCACATTTCACTTCAGTTTACCTACCCGTCCGTTCTCTCCAGACACATTACACTTCAGGTTACCTACACGTCTGTTCTCTCCTGACACATTACGCTTCAGTTTACCTACCCGTCTGTTCCCTCCTGACACATTACACTTCAGTTTACCTACCCGTCTGTTCTCTCCAGACACATTACACTTCAGCTAACCTACCCGTCTGTTCTCTCCTGACACATTACACTTCAAGTTACCTACCGGTCTGTTCTCTCTTGACACATTACACTTCAGGTTACCTACCCGTCTGTTCTCTCCTGACACATTACACTTCAGTTTACCTACCCGTCTGTTCTCTCTAGACACATTACACTTCGATTACCTACCCGTCTGTTCTTCCCTGACACATTACACTTCAGTTTACCTACCCGTCTGTTCTCCCCAGACACATTACACTTCAGTTTACCTACCCGTCTGTTCTCTCTAGACACATTACACTTCAGGTTACCTACCCGCCTGTTCTCTCCTGACACATTTCACTACAGGTTACCTACCCGTCTGTTCTTCTCTGACACATTACACTTCATGTTACCTACCCGTCTGTTCTCTCCTGACACATTACACTTCATGTTACCTACCCGTCTGTTCTTCTCTGACACATTACACTTCATGGTACCTACCCGTCTGTTCTTCTCTGACACATTACACTTCAGGTTACCTACCCGTCTGTTCTCTCCTGACACATTACACTTCAGGTCACCTACCCGTCTGTTCTTCCCTGACACATTACACTTCAGTTTACCTACCCGTCTGTTCTCTCTAGACACATTACACTTCAGGTTACCTCCCCGCCTGTTCTCTCCTGACACATTTCACTACAGGTTACCTACCCGTCTGTTCTGCTCTGACACATTACACTTCATGTTACCTACCCGCCTGTTCTCTCCTGACACATTACACTTCAGCTTACCTATCCGTCTGTTCTCTCCTGACATATTACACTTCAGGTTACCTACCCGTCTGTTCTCTCCAGACACATTACACTTCAGGTTACCTACCTGTCTGTTCTCTCCTGACACATTACACTTCAGTTTACCTACCCGTCTGTTCTCTCCTGACACATTACACTTCAGCTTACCTATACGTCTGTTCTCTCCTGACACATTACACTTCAGGTTACCTACCTGTCTGTTCTCTCCAGACACATTACACTTCAGTTTACCTACCCGTCTGTTCTCTCTAGACACATTACACTTCATGTTACCTACCCGTCTGTTCTCTCCTGACACATTACACTTCAGGTTACTTACTCGTCTGTTCTCTCCTGGCACATTACACTTCAGTTTACCTACCTGTCTGTTCTCTCTAGACACATTACACTTCATGTTACCTACCCGTCTGTTCTCTCCTGACACGTTACACTTCAGGTTACTTACCCGTCTGTTCTCTCCTGACACATTACACTTCAGGTTACCTACCTGTCTGTTCTCCCGTGGGAGTTTACACACTTCAGGTTACCCACCCGTCTGTTCTCTCCTGACACATTACACTTCAGGTTACCTACCCGTCTGTTCTCCCCTGGTAGTTTTGGTAGTTTCACTCTTCAGGCTACCTACCTGTCTTTTCTCCCCTGGTAGTTTACACACTTCAGGCTACATGCCCGTCTGTTCTCCCCTGGTAGTTTACACACTTCAGGTTACCTATTCTCTCTAGACACATTACACTTCATGTTACCTTCCCGTCTGTTCTCTCCTGACACGTTACACTTCAGGTTACTTACCCGTCTGTTCTCTCCTGACACATTGCACTTCAGGTTACCTACCTGTCTGTTCTCCCGTGGGAGTTTACACACTTCAGGCTACCTACCCGTCTGTTCTCCCCTGGTAGTTTCACTCTTCAGGCTACCTACCTGTCTTTTCTCCCCTGGTAGTTTACACACTTCAGGCTACCTACCCGTCTGTTCTCCCCTGGTAGTTTACACACTTCAGGCTACCTACCCGTCTGTTCTCCCCTGGTAGTTTACACACTTCAGGCTACCTACCCGTCTGTTCTCCCCTGGTAGTTTACACACTTCAGGCTACCTACCCGTCTGTTCTCCCCTGGTAGTTTACACACTTCAGGCTACCTACCCGTCTGTTCTCCCCTGGTAGTTTACACACTTCAGGCTACCTACCCGTCTGTTCTCCCCTGGTAGTTTACACACTTCAGGCTACCTACCCGTCTGTTCTCCCCTGGTAGTTTACACACTTCAGGCTACCTACCCGTCTGTTCTCCCCTGGTAGTTTACACACTTCAGGCTACCTACCCGTCTGTTCTCCCCTGGTAGTTTACACACTTCAGGCTACCTACCCGTCTGTTCTCCCCTGGTAGTTTACACACTTCAGGCTACCTACCCGTCTGTTCTCCCCTGGTAGTTTACACACTTCAGGCTACCTACCCGTCTGTTCTCCCCTGGTAGTTTACACACTTCAGGCTACCTACCCGTCTGTTCTCCCCTGGTAGTTTACACACTTCAGGCTACCTACCCGTCTGTTCTCCCCTGGTAGTTTACACACTTCAGGCTACCTACCCGTCTGTTCTCCCCTGGTAGTTTACACACTTCAGGCTACCTACCCGTCTGTTCTCCCCTGGTAGTTTACACACTTCAGGCTACCTACCCGTCTGTTCTCCCCTGGTAGTTTACACTCTTCAGGCTACCTACCCGTCTGTTCTCCCCTGGTAGTTTACACACTTCAGGCTACCTACCCGTCTGTTCTCCCCTGGTAGGTTACACACTTCAGGCACATACCCGTCTGTTCCCCCCTGGTAGTTTACACACTTCAGGTTACCTACCCGTCTGTTCTTCCCTGACACATTACATTTCAGGCTACCTACCCGTCTGTTCTCCCCTGGTAGTTTACACACTTCAGGCTACCTACCCGTCTGTTCTCCCCTGGTAGTTTACACACTTCAGGCTACCTACCCGTCTGTTCTCCCCTGGTAGTTTACACACTTCAGGCTACCTACCCGTCTGTTCTCCCCTGGTAGTTTACACACTTCAGGCTACCTACCCGTCTGTTCTCCCCTGGTAGTTTACACACTTCAGGCTACCTACCCGTCTGTTCTCCCCTGGTAGTTTACACACTTCAGGCTACCTACCCGTCTGTTCTCCCCTGGTAGTTTACACACTTCAGGCTACCTACCCGTCTGTTCTCCCCTGGTAGTTTACACACTTCAGGCTACCTACCCGTCTGTTCTCCCCTGGTAGTTTACACACTTCAGGCTACCTACCCGTCTGTTCTCCCCTGGTAGTTTACACACTTCAGGCTACCTACCCGTCTGTTCTCCCCTGGTAGTTTACACACTTCAGGCTACCTACCCGTCTGTTCTCCCCTGGTAGTTTACACACTTCAGGTTACCTACCCGTCTGTTCTCCCCTGGTAGTTTACACACTTCAGGCTACCTACCCGTCTGTTCTCCCCTGGTAGTTTACACACTTCAGGCTACCTACCCGTCTGTTCTCCCCTGGTAGTTTACACACTTCAGGCTACCTACCCGTCTGTTCTCCCCTGGTAGTTTACACACTTCAGGCTACCTACCCGTCTGTTCTCCCCTGGTAGTTTACACACTTCAGGCTACCTACCCGTCTGTTCTCCCCTGGTAGTTTACACACTTCAGGCTACCTACCCGTCTGTTCTCCCCTGGTAGTTTACACACTTCAGGCTACCTACCCGTCTGTTCTCCCCTGGTAGTTTACACACTCCAAGGTACTTTTTCTGGTTACCATCATCCTCAGAGGTGACAAGGTCATCAGTAAGGAAACCTAAAGTAAAAAATATATGAAAAATGTGTTCATCCAGAGTCAGTTAAAGTAAAGCTAGAATGAAAGTGTTGTCTCCCCTAGGATAATGTGTGTTTGATTGTTAATATCTTAACAGCTAGATTGACAGAGTAGTCTCCCTTTAACATTTATATTTGATTTTTGTAAAAGTAAAAACAGAATCACAAATTTCCCACACAGGATGTGAAATGTCAGTGGATTTTGTTTTTGGATTCATTTACATCTGCCAATATCTACATTGCATTTTATTGTCAACAACATACGATATGAAGCGGATAAAGGGGAAAGGTGTGTAATCTAGTATCGTATGATTTAACAGGCGCCTCTCCCACGGTACAAATATAGGGTTTACAAAAATCGGCAGAAATGTACAATGGCTTGGTCGGCATCATCTTTTTAGAATTTGGAAGACGGAAGATATCAGTATTCCGTTGGAGACTAACTGTTTTGCTGTTATTAAGCTGGATTTATTAACAATCTATTAAGGGAAGGATGTAAGATACCTACCCTTTCATTTAATTTTACATACAAATATATATCACTGATGCTTTCTTGTAAATAACAGAACTTTTACATATGTAAGTGCTTGCATATTAGTTATAACATAAAATTTGAAATGAAAGAAACTACAGAATCTCCTTCTAAAACTAAACATAATGTCATGTATCTTCAGTATAACAATATCACCATCAAACACAAATAAACTGACGACTTATATTGCATAACCGATAAATTTTCATGTTATAACTTATTCGCGAAGGCAGGCAAATCATTTGTCTAAACTGTTTTGTAATGTAATACATATATAATATGTTTCACTAAAAAAAGAAGTTTGAAGCTGTGAATTTTGCTCTGATGGTAAGCTGGGTCATCTCTTTGACTGGATATGGTAGACATGATAATAGAGACATGACAGAATGTACACAACTGACAGGTAGACATGATAATAGAGACATGACAGAATATGTGCAACTGACAGGTAGACATGATAATAGAGAAATGACAGAATGTGTACAACTGACAGGTAGACATGATAATGGAGACATGACAGAATGTGTACATGCTGACGGGTAGACATGTTAATAGAGACATGACAGAATGTGTACAACTGACAAGTAGACATGATAATAGAGACATGACAGAATGTACACAGCTGACAGGTAGACATTATAAGAGAGACATGACAGAATGTGTACATGCTGACGGGTAGACATGTTAATAGAGACATGACAGAATGTGTACATGATAACAGGTAGACATGATAATAGAGACATGACAGAATGTACACAACTGACAGGGAGAGATGATAATAGAGACATGACAGAATGTGTACATGATAACAGGTAGACATGATAATAGAGACATGACAAAATGTGTACATGCTGACAGGTAGACATGATAATAGAGTTATGACAGAATGTGTACAACTGACAGGAAGACATGATAATAGAGACATGACAGAATGTGTACACGCTGACAGGTAGACATGATAATAGAGACATGACAAAATGTGTACATGCTGACAGGTAGACATGATAATAGAGTTATGACAGAATGTGTACAACTGACAGGTAGACATGATAAGAAGTTTGAAGCTGTGAATTTTGCTCTGATGGTAAGCTGGATCATCTCTTTGACTGGATATGGTAGACATGATAATAGAGACATGGCAGAATGTACACAACTGACAGGTAGACATTATAATAGAGACATGACAGATTGTGTACAACTGGCAGGTAGACATGATAATAGAGACATGACAAAATGTGTACATGCTGACAGGTAGACATGATAATAGTGACATGACAGAATGTGTACAACTGACAGGTAGACATGATAATGGAGACATGACAGAATGTGTACATGCTGACGGGTAGACATGTTAATAGAGACATGACAGAATGTGTACATGCTGACGGGTAGACATGTTAATAGAGACATGACAGAATGTGTACAACTGACAGGCAGACATGATAATAGAGACATGACAGAATGTGCACAACTGACAGGTAGACATGATAATAGAAACATGACAGAATGTGTACAACTGACAGGTAGACATGACAATAGAGACATGACAGAATGTATACATAATATGTTTCACTAAAAAAAGAAGTTTGAAGCTGTGAATTTTGCTCTGATGGTAAGCTGGGTCATCTCTTTGACTGGATATGGTAGACATGATAATAGAGTCATGACAGAATGTACACAACTGACAGGTAGACATTATAATAGAGACATGACAGATTGTGTACAACTGGCAGGTAGACATGATAATAGAGACATGACAAAATGTGTACATGCTGACAGGTAGACATGATAATAGTGACATGACAGAATGTGTACAACTGACAGGCAGACATGATAATAGAGACATGACAGAATATGTGCAACTGACAGGTAGACATGATAATAGAGAAATGACAGAATGTGTACAACTGACAGGTAGACATGATAAGAAGTTTGAAGCTGTGAATTTTGCTCTGATGGTAAGCTGGATCATCTCTTTGACTGGATATGGTAGACATGATAATAGAGTCATGACAGAATGTACACAACTGACAGGTAGACATTATAATAGAGACATGACAGATTGTGTACAACTGGCAGGTAGACATGATAATAGAGACATGACAAAATGTGTACATGCTGACAGGTAGACATGACAATAGAGACATGACAGAATGTGTACATACTGACAAGTAGACATGATAATAGAGACATGACAGAATGTACACAACTGACCGGTAGACATGATAATAGAGACATGAATGAATGTACACAGCTGACAGGTAGACATGATACTAGAGACATGACAGAATGTGTACATGCTGACAGGAAGACATGATAATAGAGACATGACAGAATGTACACAACTGACAGGGAGAGATGATAATAGAGACATGACAGAATGTGTAAATGCTGACAGGTAGACATGATAATAGAAACATGACAGAATGTGTAAATGCTGACAGGTAGACATGATAATAGAGAAATGACAGAATGTGTACAACTGACAGGTAGACATGATAAGAAGTTTGAAGCTGTGAATTTTGCTCTGATGGTAAGCTGGGTCATCTCTTTGACTGGATATGGGAGACATGATAATAGAGACATGACAGAATGTACACAACTGACCGGTAGACATGATAATAGAGACATGACAGAATGTACACAACTGACCGGTAGACATGATAATAGAGACATGACAGAGTATGTACAACTGACAGGTAGACATGATAATAGAGACATGAATGAATGTACACAGCTGACAGGTAGACATGATAATAGAGACATGACAGAATATGTACAACTGACAGTAGACATGATAATAGAGACATAACAGAATGTGTACATGCTGACAGGAAGACATGATAATAGAGACATGGCAGAATGTGTACATGCTGACAGGTAGACAGGATAATAGAGACATGACAGAATGTGTACATGCTGACGGGTAGACATGTTAATAGAGACATGACAGAATGTGTACAACTGACAGGTAGACATGACAATAGAGACATGACAGAATGTACACAACTGACAGGTAGACATGATAATGGAGACATGACAGAATGTGTATATGCTGACGGGTAGACATGATAATAGAGGCATGACAGAATGTGTACATACTGACAGGTAGACATGATAATTGAGACATGACAGAATGTGTGCATGCTGACGGGTAGACATGATAATAGAGACATGACAGAATGTGTACAACTGACAAGTAGACATGATAATAGAGACATGGCAGAATGTGTACATGCTGACAGGTAGACATGATAATAGAGACATGACAGAATGTATAAATGCTGACAATAGAGACATGACAGAATGTGTACATGGTGACGGGGAGACATGGTAATAGAGACATGGCAGAATGTGTACAACTGACAAGTAGACGTGATAATAGCGACATGACAGAATGTGTACATACTGACAGAGACATGACAGAATGTGTAAATGCTGACAGGTAGACATGATAATATAGACATAACAGAATGTGTACATGCTGACAGGTAGACATGATAATAGCGACATGACAGAATGTGTACATACTGACAAGTAGACATGATAATAGAGACATGACAGGATGTGTACATGCTGACGGGTAGACATGATAATAGGGACATGACAGAATGTGTACAACTGACAGGAAGACATGATAATAGAGTTATGACAGAATGTGTACATGGTGACAGGTGGACATGATAATAGAGACATGACAGAATATGTACAACTGACAGGTAGACATGATAATAGCGACATGACAGAATGTGTACAACTGACAGGGAGACATGATAATAGAGACATGACAGAATGAGTACAACCGACAGGTAGACATGATAATAGAGACATGGCAGAATGTGTACATGCTGACAGGTAGACAGGATAATAGAGACATGGCAGAATGTGTACATGCTGACAGGTAGACATGTTAATAGAGACATGGGTAGACATGATAATAGAGACATGACAAAATGTGTACATGCTGACGGGTAGACATGGTAATAGAGACATGACAGAATGTGTACATGATGACAGGTAGTCATGATAATAGAGACATGACAGAATGTACACAACTGACAGGTAGACATGATAATAGAGCCATGACAGAATGTGTACAACTGACAGGTATACATGATAATAGAGACATGACAGAATGGGTACAACTGACAGGTAGACATGATAATAGAGCCATGACAGAATGTGTACAACTGACAGGAAGACATGATAATAGAGTTATGACAGAATGTGTACATGGTGACAGGTGGACATGATAATAGAGACATGACAGAATATGTACAACTGACAGGTAGACATGATAATAGAGCCATGACAGAATGTGTACATGCTGACGGGAAGAAATGTTAATAGAGACATGACAGAATGTGTACATGCGGACAGGTAGACATGATAATAGAGACATAACAGAATGTGTACATGCTGACGGGTAGGCATGTTAATAGAGACATGACAGAATGTGTACATGCGGACAGGTAGACATGATAATAGAGACATAACAGAATGTGTACATGCTGACAGGGAGACATGATAATAGAGACATGACAGAATATGTACATGCTGACAGGTAGACATGATAATAGGATAATAGAGACATGACAGAATGTATAAATGCTGACAATAGAGACATGACAGAATGTGTACATGATGACAGGTAGACATGATAATAGAGACATGACAGAATGTATAAATGCTGACAGGTAGACATGTTAATAGAGACATGACAGAATGTGTACATGCAGACAGGTAGACATGATAATAGAGACATGACAGAATGTGTACAACTGACAGGCAGACATGATAAAAGAGTTATGACAGAATGTGTCCAACTGACAGGTAGACATGATAATAGAGAAATGACAGAATGTGTACATGATGACAGGTAGACATGATAATAGAGACATGGCAGAATGTGTACAACTGACAAGTAGACATGATAATAGCGACATGACAGAATGTGTACAACTGACAGGCAGACATGATAAAAGAGTTATGACAGAATGTGTACAACTGACAGGTAGACATGATAATGGAGACATGACAGAATGTGTACAACAGACAAGTAGAAATGATAATAGAGACATGACAGAATATGTACATACTGACAGGTAGACATGATAATAGCGACATGACAGAATGTGTACATGATGACAGGTAGACATGATAATAGAGTTAGGACAGAATGTGTAAATGCTGACAGGTAGACATGATAACAGAGACATGACAGAATGTGTACATACTGACAAGTAGACATGATAATAGAGACATGGCAGAATGTGTACACGCTGACAGGTAGACATGATAATAGAAACATGACAGAATGGGTATACGCGGACAGGTAGACATGATAATAGAAACATGACAGAATGTGTATACGCTCACAGGTAGACATCATAATAGAGACATGACAGAATATGTACATGCTGACAGGTAGACATAATAATAGAGACATGACAGAATGTGTAAATGCTGACAGGTAGACATGATAACAGAGACATGACAGAATGTGTACATGCAGACAGGTAGACATGATAATAGAGTTATGACAGAATGTGTACATGGTGACAGGTAGACATGATAATAGAAACATGACAGAATGTGTATACGCTCACAGGTAGACATCATAATAGAGACATGACAGAATATGTGTACATGATGACAGGTAGACATGATAATAGAAACATGACAGAATGGGTATACGCGGACAGGTAGACATGATAATAGAGTTAGGACAGAATGTGTAAATGCTGACAGGTAGACATGATAATAGAAACATGACAGAATGGGTATACGCGGACAGGTAGACATGATAATAGAAACATGACAGAATGTGTATACGCTGACAGGTAGACATGATAATATAGACATGACAGAATGTGTACATGATAACAGGTAGACATGATAATAGAGACAAGACAGAATGTGTACATGCTGACAGGCAGACATGATAATAGAGTTATAACAGAATGTGTACATGCTGACAGGTAGAGATGATAATAGAGACATGACAGAATATGTACATACTGACAGGTAGACATAGACATGATAATAGCGACATGACAGAATGTGTACATACTGACAAGTAGACATGATAATAGAGACATGCCAGAATGTGTACAACTGACA